TTTCATTTTTGGGCGAAAAATGAAGTTTCTCCAATCTTCTCAAAACTCTGGATTCTGATAGAGGGCGCGAGACTTTGACCTGAGTGCAAAAATGGAGGCTCTAGACCCTCCAGAGCTGAGATATCGAAATTCAAAATTTCGACCCGAAAAAAAAACGACAGTGTTACCCCTTTCGTTTTTTTTTCATTTTTGGGCGAAAAATGAAGTTTCTCCAATCTTCTCAAAACTCTGGATTCTGATAGAGGGGCGCGAGACTTTGACCTGAGTGCAAAAATGGAGGCTCTAGACCCTCCCAGAGCTGAGATATCGAAATTCAAAATTTCGACCCGAAAAAAAAACGACAGTGTTACCCCTTTCGTTTTTTTTCATTTTTGGCGAAAAATGAAGTTTCTCCAATCTTCTCAAAACTCTGGATTCTGATAGAGGGGCGCGAGACTTTGACCTGAGTGCAAAAATGGAGGCTCTAGACCCTTCCAGAGCTGAGATATCGAAATTCAAAATTTCGACCCGAAAAAAAAACGACAGTGTTACCCCTTTCGTTTTTTTTCATTTTTGGGGCGAAAATGAAGTTTCTCCAATCTTCTCAAAACTCTGGATTCTGATAGAGGGGCGCGGAACTTTGACCTGAGTGCAAAAATGGAGGCTCTAGACCCTTCCAGAGCTGAGATATCGAAATTCAAAATTTCGACCCGAAAAAAAAACGACAGTGTTACCCCTTTCGTTTTTTTTCATTTTTGGGCGAAAAATGAAGTTTCTCCAATCTTCTCAAAACTCTGGATTCTGATAGAGGGGCGCGAGACTTTGACCTGAGTGCAAAAATGGAGGCTCTAGACCCTCCAGAGCTGAGATATCGAAATTCAAAATTTCGACCCGAAAAAAAAACGACAGTGTTACCCCTTTCGTTTTTTTTTCATTTTTGGGCGAAAAATGAAGTTTCTCCAATCTTCTCAAAACTCTGGATTCTGATAGAGGGCGCGAGACTTTGACCTGAGTGCAAAAATGGAGGCTCTAGACCCTCCAGAGCTGAGATATCGAAATTCAAAATTTCGACCCGAAAAAAAAACGACAGTGTTACCCCTTTCGTTTTTTTTCATTTTTGGGCGAAAAATGAAGTTTCTCCAATCTTCTCAAAACTCTGGATTCTGATAGAGGGGCGCGAGACTTTGACCTGAGTGCAAAAATGGAGGCTCTAGACCCTCCCAGAGCTGAGATATCGAAATTCAAAATTTCGACCCGAAAAAAAAACGACAGTGTTACCCCTTTCGTTTTTTTTCATTTTGGGCGAAAAATGAAGTTTCTCCAATCTTCTCAAAACTCTGGATTCTGATAGAGGGGCGCGAGACTTTGACCTGAGTGCAAAAATGGAGGCTCTAGACCCTCCAGAGCTGAGATATCGAAATTCAAAATTTCGACCCGAAAAAAAAACGACAGTGTTACCCCTTTCGTTTTTTTTCATTTTTGGGCGAAAAATGAAGTTTCTCCAATCTTCTCAAAACTCTGGATTCTGATAGAGGGGCGCGAGACTTTGACCTGAGTGCAAAAATGGAGGCTCTAGACCCTCCCAGAGCTGAGATATCGAAATTCAAAATTTCGACCCGAAAAAAAAAACGACAGTGTTACCCCTTTCGTTTTTTTTTCATTTTTGGGCGAAAAATGAAGTTTCTCCAATCTTCTCAAAACTCTGGATTCTGATAGAGGGGCGCGAGACTTTGACCTGAGTGCAAAAATGGAGGCTCTAGACCCTCCCAGAGCTGAGATATCGAAATTCAAAATTTCGACCCGAAAAAAAAACGACAGTGTTACCCCTTTCGTTTTTTTTTCATTTTTGGGCGAAAAATGAAGTTTCTCCAATCTTCTCAAAACTCTGGATTCTGATAGAGGGGCGCGAGACTTTGACCTGAGTGCAAAAATGGAGGCTCTAGACCCTCCCAGAGCTGAGATATCGAAATTCAAAATTTCGACCCGAAAAAAAAACGACAGTGTTACCCCTTTCGTTTTTTTTCATTTTTGGGCGAAAAATGAAGTTTCTCCAATCTTCTCAAAACTCTGGATTCTGATAGAGGGCTGTGAGACTTTGACCTGAGTGCAAAAATGGAGGCTCTAGACCCTCCCAGAGCTGAGATATCGAAATTCAAAATTTCGACCCGAAAAAAAAACGACAGTGTTACCCCTTTCGTTTTTTTTCATTTTTGGGCGAAAAATGAAGTTTCTCCAATCTTCTCAAAACTCTGGATTCTGATAGAGGGGCGCGAGACTTTGACCTGAGTGCAAAAATGGAGGCTCTAGACCCTTCCAGAGCTGAGATATCGAAATTCAAAATTTCGACCCGAAAAAAAAACGACAGTGTTACCCCTTTCGTTTTTTTTCATTTTTGGGCGAAAAATGAAGTTTCTCCAATCTTCTCAAAACTCTGGATTCTGATAGAGGGGCGCGAGACTTTGACCTGAGTGCAAAAATGGAGGCTCTAGACCCTCCCAGAGCTGAGATATCGAATTCAAAATTTCGACCCGAAAAAAAAACGACAGTGTTACCCCTTTCGTTTTTTTTCATTTTTGGGCGAAAAATGAAGTTTCTCCAATCTTCTCAAAACTCTGGATTCTGATAGAGGGGCGCGAGACTTTGACCTGAGTGCAAAAATGGAGGCTCTAGACCCTCCAGAGCTGAGATATCGAAATTCAAAATTTCGACCCGAAAAAAAACGACAGTGTTACCCCTTTCGTTTTTTTTTCATTTTTGGGCGAAAAATGAAGTTTCTCCAATCTTCTCAAAACTCTGGATTCTGATAGAGGGGCGCGAGACTTTGACCTGAGTGCAAAAATGGAGGCTCTAGACCCTCCAGAGCTGAGATATCGAAATTCAAAATTTCGACCCGAAAAAAAAACGACAGTGTTACCCCTTTCGTTTTTTTTCATTTTTGGGCGAAAAATGAAGTTTCTCCAATCTTCTCAAAACTCTGGATTCTGATAGAGGGGCGCGAGACTTTGACCTGAGTGCAAAAATGGAGGCTCTAGACCCTCCAGAGCTGAGATATCGAAATTCAAAATTTCGACCCGAAAAAAAAAACGACAGTGTTACCCCTTTCGTTTTTTTTCATTTTTGGGCGAAAAATGAAGTTTCTCCAATCTTCTCAAAACTCTGGATTCTGATAGAGGGGCGCGAGACTTTGACCTGAGTGCAAAAATGGAGGCTCTAGACCCTCCCAGAGCTGAGATATCGAAATTCAAAATTTCGACCCGAAAAAAAAAACGACAGTGTTACCCCTTTCGTTTTTTTTCATTTTTGGGCGAAAAATGAAGTTTCTCCAATCTTCTCAAAACTCTGGATTCTGATAGAGGGGCGCGAGACTTTGACCTGAGTGCAAAAATGGAGGCTCTAGACCCTCCCAGAGCTGAGATATCGAAATTCAAAATTTCGACCCGAAAAAAAAACGACAGTGTTACCCCTTTCGTTTTTTTCATTTTTGGGCGAAAAATGAAGTTTCTCCAATCTTCTCAAAACTCTGGATTCTGATAGAGGGGCGCGAGACTTTGACCTGAGTGCAAAAATGGAGGCTCTAGACCCTCCCAGAGCTGAGATATCGAAATTCAAAATTTCGACCCGAAAAAAAAACGACAGTGTTACCCCTTTCGTTTTTTTTCATTTTTGGGCGAAAAATGAAGTTTCTCCAATCTTCTCAAAACTCTGGATTCTGATAGAGGGCTGTGAGACTTTGACCTGAGTGCAAAAATGGAGGCTCTAGACCCTCCCAGAGCTGAGATATCGAAATTCAAAATTTCGACCCGAAAAAAAAACGACAGTGTTACCCCTTTCGTTTTTTTTCATTTTTGGGCGAAAAATGAAGTTTCTCCAATCTTCTCAAAACTCTGGATTCTGATAGAGGGGCGCGAGACTTTGACCTGAGTGCAAAAATGGAGGCTCTAGACCCTCCCAGAGCTGAGATATCGAAATTCAAAATTTCGACCCGAAAAAAAAACGACAGTGTTACCCCTTTCGTTTTTTTTCATTTTTGGGCGAAAAATGAAGTTTCTCCAATCTTCTCAAAACTCTGGATTCTGATAGAGGGGCGCGAGACTTTGACCTGAGTGCAAAAATGGAGGCTCTAGACCCTCCCAGAGCTGAGATATCGAAATTAAAAATTTCGACCCGAAAAAAAAACGACAGTGTTACCCCTTTCGTTTTTTTTTCATTTTTGGGCGAAAAATGAAGTTTCTCCAATCTTCTCAAAACTCTGGATTCTGATAGAGGGGCGCGAGACTTTGACCTGAGTGCAAAAATGGAGGCTCTAGACCCTCCCAGAGCTGAGATATCGAAATTTAAAATTTCGACCCGAAAAAAAACGACAGTGTTACCCCTTTCGTTTTTTTTCATTTTTGGGCGAAAAATGAAGTTTCTCCAATCTTCTCAAAACTCTGGATTCTGATAGAGGGGCGCGAGACTTTGACCTGAGTGCAAAAATGGAGGCTCTAGACCCTTCCGGACCTGAGATATTAAGATCCCACGTAGCATGTACATCTTTAACACTTCTTAACAGAATCACATAAAAAAAATCACTTAAAACTCATAAAAAAACATTCACATTCAGTAACAAAAGCAAGTTAAGACCATTACATCACATACAATTCACAAAAAAACCAACCACATTCAGTAAAAAAATGCAAGTAAAGAACATTACCAGCAAGTTAAGACCATTACATCACATAAAACTCACAAAAAAAACAATCACATCCAGTAACAAAAGCAAGTAAAGACCATTACAAGCAAGTTAAGACCATTACATCACATAACACTCAGTAACAAAAGCAAGTAAAGACCATTACAAGCAAGTTAAGACCATTACATCACATAACACTCAGTAACAAAAGCAAGTAGACCATTACATCATAAAACTCACAAAAAAAAACAATCACATTCAGTAAAAAAAGCAAGTTAAGACCATTACAACACAAAAAAAAGACAAAAAGTACTTTATTTTTTTTTTCACAGGTTTTTTTTTTACAAAGAGACCTTTTCAGCTCTCACACATCTTCCTGGCTCCATGATCCAAACACTCTGAACTACAGCACTGAGGCTACAGAGATCCTGCTTGAACAGAACCCATCCCTCCACAGGAACAGCCATGGCAAACTGCAGAGACACCTGAAAAATTGGAAAAACAAATCGGTGGCAAACAGTACACTAGCAGCAATTACATTCTCACTGGGAAAGCTAGATAAGACCATTACATCACATAAAACTCACAAAAAAAACAATCACATTCAGTAACAAAAGCAAGTAAAGACCATTACATCACATACAATTCACAAAAAAACAACCACATTCAGGAACAAATGCAAGTAAAGAACATTACAAGCAAGTTAAGACCATTACATCACATAAAACTCAATAACAAAAGCAAGTAAAAACCATTACATCACATAAAACTCAGTAACAAAAGCAAGTAAAGAACATTACAAGCAAGTTAAGACCATTACATCACATACAATTCACAAAAAAAAACCAACCACATTCAGTAAAAAAATGCAAGTAAAGACCATTACAAGCAAGTTAAGACCATTACATCACATAACACTCAGTAACAAAAGCAAGTAAAGACCATTACAAGCAAGTTAAGACCATTACATCACATAAAACTCACAAAAAACCAATCACATTCAGTAACAAAAGCAAGTTAAGACCATTACATCACATAACACTCAGTAACAAAAGCAAGTAAAGACCATTACAAGCAAGTTAAGATCATTACATCACATAAAACTCAATAACAAAAGCAAGTAAAGACCATTACAAGCAAGTTAAGATCATTACATCACATAAAACTCAATAATAACAAAAGCAAGTAAAGACCATTACAAGCAAGTTAAGACCATTACATCACATAAAACTCACAAAAAAAACAATCACATTCAGTAACAAATGCAAGTAAAGAACATTACAAGCAAGTTAAGACCATTACATCACATAAAACTCACAAAAAACCAATCACATCCAGTAACAAAAGCAAGTAAAGACCATTACAAGCAAGTTAAGACCATTACATCACATAAAAAACAATCACATTCAGTAACAAAAGCAAGTTAAGACCATTACATCACATAACACTCAGTAACAAAAGCAAGTAAAGACCATTACAAGCAAGTTAAGACCATTACATCACATAACACTCAGTAACAAAAGCAAGTAAAGACCATTACAAGCAAGTTAAGACCATTACATTACATAAAACTCACAAAAAAACCAATCACATTCAGTAACAAAAGCAAGTAGACCATTACATCACATAACACTCAGTAACAAAAGCAAGTAAAGACCATTACATCACATAACAGTCAGTAACAAAAGCAAGTAAAGACCATTACAAGCAAGTTAAGATCATTACATCACATAAAACTCAATAACAAAAGCAAGTAAAGACCATTACAAGCAAGTTAAGACCATTACATCACATAAAACTCACAAAAAAAAAACAATCACATTCAGTAACAAAAGCAAGTAAAGACCATTACAAGCAATTTAAGATCATTACATCACATAAAACTCAATAACAAAAGCAAGTAAAGACCATTACAAGCAAGTTAAGACCATTACATCACACAAAACTCGCAAAAAAACAATCACATTCAGTAACAAATGCAAGTAAAGAACATTACAAGCAAGTTAAGACCATTACATCACATAAAACTCACAAAAAACCAATCACATCCAGTAACAAAAGCAAGTAAAGACCATTACAAGCAAGTTAAGACCATTAAACCACATAAAAACCAATCACATTCAGTAACAAAAGTAAGTAAAGACCATTACAAACAAGTTAAGACCATTACATCACATAAAACTCAATAACAAAAGCAAGTAAAGACCATTACAAGCAAGTTAAGACCATTAAATCACATAAAAACCAATCACATTCAGTAACAAAAGCAAGTAAAGACCATTACAAACAAGTTAAGACCATTACATCACATAAAAACAATCACATTCAGTAACAAAAGCAAGTAAAGACCATTACAAGCAAGTTAAGACCATTACATCACATAAAAACCAATCACATTCAGTAACAAAAGCAAGTAAAGACCATTACAAACAAGTTAAGACCATTATATCACATAAAACTCAATAACAAAAGCAAGTAAAGACCATTACAAGCAAGTTAAGACAATTACATCACATAAAAACCAATCACATTCAGTAACAAGAGCAAGTAAAGACCATTACAAGCAAGTTAAAACCATTACATCACATAAAACTCAGTAACAAAAGCAAGTAAAGAACATTACAAGCAAGTTAAGATCATTACATCACATAAAACTCACAAAAAAAAAAATCACATTCAGTAACAAAAGCAAGTAAAGACCATTACAAGCAAGTTAAGATCATTACATCACATAAAACTCAATAACAAAAGTTAAGCCCATTACAAGCAAGTTAAGACCATTACATCACATTAAAACTCAATAACAAAAGCAAGTAAAGACCATTACAAGCAAGTTAAGACCATTGCATCACATACAATTCACAAAAAACAACCACATTCAGTAACAAAAGCAGGTAAAGAACATTACAAGCAAGTTAAGACCATTACATCACATTCAGTAACAAAAGCAAGTTAAGACCATTACATCACATTAAACTCAATAACAAAAGCAAGTAAAGACATTACATGCAAGTTAAGAACATTACATCACATAAAACTCAGTAACAAAAGCAAGTAAAGACATTACAAGCAAGTTAAGAACATTACATCACATACAATTCACAAAAAAACCAACCACATTCAGTAACAAAAGCAAGTAAAGACCATTACAAGCAAGTTAAGACCATTACATCACATAAAACTCACAAAAAAACCAATCACATTCAGTAACAAAAGCAAGTAGACCATTACAAGCAAGGTAAGACCATTACATCACATAAAACTCACAAAAAACCAATCACATTCAGTAACAAAGGCAAGTAAAGACCATTGCAAGCAAGTTAAGACCATCACATAACACTCAGTAACAAAAGCAAGTAAAGACCATTACAAGCAAGTTAAGACCATTACATCATATAAAACTCACAAAAAAAACAATCACATTCAGTAACAAATGCAAGTAAAGACCAGTACAAGCAAGTTAAGACCATTACATCACATAAAGACCATTACATGACATAAAACTCAACAAAAGCAAGTAAAGACCATTACATCACATAAAAACCAATCACATTCAGTAACAAAAGCAAGTAAAGACCATTACAAACAAGTTAAGACCTTTATATCACATAAAACTCAATAACAAAAGCAAGCAAAGACATTACAAGCAAGTTAAGAACATTACATCACATAAAAACCAATCACATTCAGTAACAAAAGCAAGTAAAGACCATTACAAGCAAGTTAAGACAATTGCATCACATAAAAACCAATCACATTCAGTAACAAATGCAAGTAAAGACCAGTACAAGCAAGTTAAGACCATTACATCACATAAAGACCATTACATGACATAAAACTCAACAAAAGCAAGTAAAGACCATTACATCACATAAAAACCAATCACATTCAGTAACAAAAGCAAGTAAAGACCATTACAAGCAAGTTAAGACCTTTATATCACATAAAACTCAATAACAAAAGCAAGCAAAGACATTACAAGCAAGTTAAGAACATTACATCACATAAAAACCAATCACATTCAGTAACAAAATCAAGTAAAGACCATTACAAGCAAGTTAAGACAATTGCATCACATAAAAACCAATCACATTCAGTAACAAAAGCAAGTAAAGACCATTACAAACAAGTTAAGACCATTACATCACAAAACTCAACAAAAGCAAGTAAAGACCATTACAAGCAAGTTAAGACCATTACATCACATAAAAACCAATTACATTCAGTAACAAAAGCAAGTAAAGACCATTACAAACAAGTTAAGACCATTATATCACATAAAACTCAATAACAAAAGCAAGTAAAGACCATTACAAGCAAGTTAAGACCATTACATCACATAAAAACCAATTACATTCAGTAACAAAAGCAAGTAAAGACCATTACAAACAAGTTAAGACCATTATATCACATAAAACTCAATAACAAAAGCAAGTAAAGACCATTACAAGCAAGTTAAGACCATTACATCACATAAAAACCAATTACATTCAGTAACAAAAGCAAGTAAAGACCATTACAAACAAGTTAAGACCATTATATCACATAAAACTCAATAACAAAAGCAAGTAAAGACCATTACATCACATAAAACTCAACAAAAGCAAGTAAAGACCATTACAAGCAAGTTAAGACCATTACATCATATAAACTCAATCACATTCAGTAACAAAAGCAAGTAAAGACCATTATATCACATAAAACTAAATAACAAAAGCAAGTAAAGACATTACATCACATAAAACTAATCACATTCAGTAACAAAAGCAAGTAAAGACCATTACGTCACATAAAACTCAGTAACAAAAGCAAGTAAAGACCATTACAAGCAAGTTAAGACCATTACATCACATACAATTCACAAAAAACCAACCACATTCAGTAACAAAAGCAAGTAAAGACCATTACAAGCAAGTTAAGACAATTACATCACATAAAAACCAATCACATTCAGTAACAAAAGCAAGTAAAGACAATTACAAGCAAGTTAAGACCATTACATCACATAAAACTCAATAACAAAAGAAAGTAAAGACCATTACAAGCAAGTTAAGATCATTACATCACATAAAACTCAATAACAAAAGCAAGTAAAGACCATTACAAGCAAGTTAAGAACATTACATCACATACAATTCACAAAAAAACCAACCACATTCAGTAACAAAAGCAAGTAAAGACCATTACAAGCAAGTTAAGACCATTACATCACATAAAGACCATTACATGACATAAAACTCAACAAAAGCAAGTAAAGACCATTACATCACATAAAAACCAATCACATTCAGTAACAAAAGCAAGTAAAGACCATTACAAACAAGTTAAGACCTTTATATCACATAAAACTCAGTAACAAAAGCAAGTAAAGAACATTACAAGCAAGTTAAGACCATTACATCACATAACACTCAATAACAAAAGCAAGCAAAGACATTACAAGCAAGTTAAGAACATTACATCACATAAAAACCAATCACATTCAGTAACAAAAGCAAGTAAAGACCATTACAAGCAAGTTAAGACAATTGCATCACATAAAAACCAATCACATTCAGTAACAAAAGCAAGTAAAGACCATTACATCACAAAACTCAACAAAAGCAAGTAAAGACCATTACAAGCAAGTTAAGACCATTACATCACATAAAAACCAATTACATTCAGTAACAAAAGCAAGTAAAGACCATTAGATCACATAAAACTCAATAACAAAAGCAAGTAAAGACCATTACAAGCAAGTTAAGACCATTACATCACATAAAAACCAATTACATTCAGTAACAAAAGCAAGTAAAGACCATTACAAACAAGTTAAGACCATTATATCACATAAAACTCAATAACAAAAGCAAGTAAAGACCATTACATCACATAAAACTCAACAAAAGCAAGTAAAGACCATTACAAGCAAGTTAAGACCATTACATCATAAAACTCAATCACATTCAGTAACAAAAGCAAGTAAAGACCATTATATCACATAAAACTAAATAACAAAAGCAAGTAAAGACATTACATCACATAAAACTAATCACATTCAGTAACAAAAGCAAGTAAAGACCATTACGTCACATAAAACTCAGTAACAAAAGCAAGTAAAGACCATTACAAGCAAGTTAAGACCATTACATCACATACAATTCACAAAAAACCAACCACATTCAGTAACAAAAGCAAGTAAAGACCATTACAAGCAAGTTAAGACAATTACATCACATAAAAACCAATCACATTCAGTAACAAAAGCAAGTAAAGACAATTACAAGCAAGTTAAGACCATTAAATCACATAAAACTCAATAACAAAAGAAAGTAAAGACCATTACAAGCAAGTTAAGATCATTACATCACATAAAACTCAATAACAAAAGCAAGTAAAGACCATTACAAGCAAGTTAAGAACATTACATCACATACAATTCACAAAAAAACCAACCACATTCAGTAACAAAAGCAAGTAAAGACCATTACAAGCAAGTTAAGACCATTACATCACATAAAAACCAATCACATTCAGTAACAAAAGCAAGTAAAGACCATTACAAGCAAGTTAAGATCATTACATCACATAAAACACAAAAAAACCAATCACATTCAGTAACAAAAGCAAGTAAAGACCATTACAAGCAAGTTAAGAACATTACATCACATACAATTCACAAAAAAACCAATCACATTCAGTAACAAAAGCAAGTAAAGACCATTACAAGCAAGTTAAGAACATTACATCACATACAATTCACAAAAAAACCAATCACATTCAGTAACAAAAGCAAGTAAAGACCATTACAAGCAAGTTAAGACCATTACATCACATAAAAACCAATCACATTCAGTAACAAAAGCAAGTAAAGACCATTACAAGCAAGTTAAGATCATTACATCACATAAAACACAAAAAAAACAATCACATTCAGTAACAAAAGCAAGTAAAGACCATTACAAGCAAGTTAAGATCACATTCAGTAACAAAAGCAAGTAAAGACCATTACAAGCAAGTTAAGATCATTACATCACATAAAACTCACAAAAAACAATCACATTCAGTAACAAAGGCAAGTAAAGACCATTACAAGCAAGTTAAGACCATTACATCACATACGAGTCACACAAAAAACACATTCAGTAACAAAAGCAAGTAAAGACCATTACAAGCAAGTTAAGACCATTACATCACATAAAATTCACAAAAAAAAAAACAATCACATCCAGTAACAAAAGCAAGTAAAGACCATTACATCACATGAAACTCACAAAAAACCAATCACATTCAGTAACAAAAGCAAGTAAAGACCATTACAAGCAAGTTAAGACCATTACATCACATAACACACACACACACACACACACACACAAAAAAAAAACACATTCAGTAACAAAAGCAAGTAAAGACCATTACAAGCAAGTTAAGACCATTACATCACAAAAAAACAATCACATTCAGTAACAAAAGCAAGTAAAGCCCATTACAAGCAAGTTAAGATACCTTTTCAGCTCTCACACATCTTCCTGGCTCCATGATCCAGACACTCTGAACTACAGCACTGAAGCTACAGAGATCCTGCTTGAGCAGAAACCATCAGAACATTTACCTCCACAGGAACACCCATGGCAAACTGCAGAGAAACCTGAAAAATTGGAAAAACAAATCAGTGTCAAACAGCACACTAGCAGCAACTACATTCTCACTTGGAAGACCACTGTAGACCAGAATCTGCACTGCTGGAACCAGATCAACACTAACAGACAACTGGAACATCACAGAACAAACTTAATCAGTTTCATGCTAGAGCAAGTCTCAATTTTTACAAAATACAAGTCTTATCACGAGATTCAGATCAGCCTTAAGATTAGCAGTGTTTAGGGAGAACGCAGCCCATCCATTCTTGTTTGTGGTTACAAACAGCAGTTTGTTGGGCCAGTTGCTCCCCTCCAAGAGATATACAGCTTTGTCGAGTCACGTAGATCTGTTAGAAATGATCAAGGTTTTGAAAGGGAACCAATTTGACGGCTTCTGCAATAAGGTATGACATTTTGCTTGCCTTTCCATTAAGCATTGATCCAGGAGGTCCACAAATGTGACTTGGCCAACTACAAACGTAATAGACCCCTTTTCAGATTTTGACACCATTACATCTGCAAACAAACAGTGGAGAATATCAACTTTGTGGCTTAAAGTGGAGGTCTTGTAAAGATGATAATGAGTACATGGTTCAGATCAGCCAATAGCTCACCTGTTCCCTCCTCAGTAACATTCACATTTACAAGAAATGTGTCTTGCATTTGGTCTTGAAAAACACTTACGCATCAACAGTAAGAGAGGCAAAGCCTGTGACATTCATCTGGAAGGAGAACAAAGATAGACAATTAAGTCAACCACAGGCATAATGAAAACCCTTAGCAGTAAGTCAGGAGTCGCACACCTTTGCAGTTCGAGTCAGGCACGGTCTGGTCAAATTATGAAGCAGAAAGTATGGAAATGGATCACGGCACACTTCCACTAAGGCTTGACCAGGTACAGGTTGGCCATATGTATAAATGGGAAACATCAGAACACGATAAAGAACTGATCAACCACAAGAGAAGAAAATAAAGCGTCACTCACTTGGCACAAGACTCAACTTTCAGTACCATAACTGCAACGCTGTAGTTCTACAGTGCGTTTACAGTCACATTAAACTTGGGCAGAACTAAACCAGAAACATAGCGCTTTAGGTTAAGGCCTCAGATCTGTCATTGAACTGCCCTTACACAACAACTTACTATACTTTTTCACCTCAAAAACTTGGGAGACTTCTCGGTCAGCAATAAAAGCCTTTAGTGTGTACATCACTATCTGAGCCTGTGGGTTTAACTCGTGAGAAAGCTGCAATATCAGCCCTTTGAGGAAACATTTGTCCACTGCCCAATCCAGTTATAATCTTTGTCCTATTAAAATAAATTAACAGCTCAGAGAATATCTGCAAAGAAAAGTGCAAAAAGCTGCATTGGCTCCATTCAAAGTCTTATACCGAAGCAAACTTAACTCCACCACGACTACGTTGTACTGTAAGACAGACAGGAATAATAAGCATTAAAAAGCAGTCATTGAAGTTGAAATTTATGCATCTTAAAAGAACCTGCATTTAATTTGCTTTTCATTTATGGTCAGAAACCTCTAAATGGTGAAACATCTGGTTTTACCATTTGATAAAAAGGCACAAATTTGGGATCCATGGAGACAACTCTGAAATTAACTGCAAAGACACCAACAAAATCACATATTGCATAACGCGTTTGAAGATGATTGCTTCAACCAATGGTCATTCACAGCTCACCCATTTATCCTGGATTGTAAAAAGGTAGGTAAAGTCTGAACATGATTTTGCCCTCTTCAGTAACGCTCAAGACCTTCCCTTGACAGTCAACCTTCAGCTTCTGCACTGAATCTCCATCTACCCGAGATCCAGACTCAATCACCACAAACAGATCCAGACTCAATCACCCACTTCAGGGAAATTCACTATGAATAACCTGTGGAAAAAAAAGACAAAAAAAAAAAAAAGGAAAGACACCAACAAAATCACATATTGCATAACGCGTTTGAAGATGATTGCTTCAACCAATGGTCATTCACAGCTCACCCATTTATCCTGGATTGTAAAAAGGTAGGTAACGTCTGAACATGATTTTGCCCTCTTCAGTAACTCTCAAGACCTTCCCTTGATAGTCAACCTTCAGCTTCTGCACTGAATCTCCATCTACCCGAGATCCAGACTCAATCACCACAAACAGATCCAGACTCAATCACCCACTGCAGTGAAATTCACTATGAATAACCTGTGGAAAAAAAGACAAAAAAAAAAAAAAAAAGGAAAGACACCAACAAAATCACATATTGCATAACACATTTGAAGATGATTGCTTCAACCAATGGTCATTCACAGCTCACCCATTTATCCTGGATTGTAAAAAGGTAGGTAACGTCTGAAGATGATTTTGCCCTCTTCAGTAACGCTCTAGACCTTCCCTTGACAGTCAACCTTCAGCTTCTGCACTGAATCTCCATCTACCCGAGATCCAGACTCAATCACCACAAACAGATCCAGACTCAATCACCCACTGCAGGGAAATTCACTATGAATAACCTGTGGAAAAAAGACAAAAAAAAAAAAGGAAAGACACCAACAAAATCACATATTGGATAACGCGTTTGAAGATGATTGCTTCAACCAATGGTCATTCACAGCTCACCCATTTATCCTGGATTGTAAAAAGGTAGATAACGTCGGAACATGATTTTGCCCTCTTCAGTAACTCTCAAGACCTTCCCTTGACAGTCAACCTTCAGCTTCTGCACTGAATCTCCATCTACCCGAGATCCAGACTCAATCACCACAAACAGATCCAGACTCAATCACCCACTGCAGGGAAATTCACTATGAATAACCTGTGGAAAAAAGACAAAAAAAAAAAAAGGAAAAACACCAACAAAATCACATATTGCATAACACGTTTGAAAATGATTGCTTCAACCAATGGTCATTCACAGCTCACCCATTTATCCTGGATTGTAAAAAGGTAGATAACGTCTGAACATGATTTTGTCAAGGGAAGGTCTTGAGAGTTACTGAAGAGGGCGGTCAACCTTCAGCTTCTGCACTGAATCTCCATCTACCCGAGATCCAGACTCAATCACCACAAACAGATCCAGACTCAATCACCCACTGCAGGGAAATTCACTATGAATAACCTGTGGAAAAAAAGACAAAAAAAAAAAAAAAAGGAAAGCTCCAATGGTTCACAAAGCTTATCTTCACCATCTATTAAGTTTAGTAAACAATTCCAACACAAAACAGAATGCTTCCATTGACTTCAAAGCCTAATGGTACTTACAGCCATGGTTCTTTAAATCCATCAGCAGCAAAGAGAAAAAGGACTAAAATAAGCCCTTTCCAAACACAAATCACCCAAGACTAACCCTTATCAAGCCACTCTTTCAGACACCTCCAAGTTTCTCTTAAGATCTATGCTTTCACTGTTGACTTAAGCGTCTCTAAATCATCTGCTCTGAGGACAGCGATATATCTGTTAATATATCAGGAACGTTAATTCAATTAATTAACCACCACCTGGCAGTAATTAATGTTATTGTCACCGGGTGAACATGCTAGGAACCACAAAAAATATTGTTGATTGGTTTCCAGGGGGAAGAAATCTCGGTGTAACACCGGGCCGGCTTTGAGTAAACCATGGAGTAAACACGTCATGGTTGCTTACTATAATGAGCGCCAGCTGAAGTCAATGAGTAGGACTTCATTGAACCACATGCCCGGGAAAAAGGGAGTATAAAGAGAGAGGCTTGAAACATGGAGAGGATGGTGTAGACAGTGGGAAAGCTCCACGCAAGTGCTTGAGCAGAGTTTGCCAGTGATAGTGGGGCCTGGGGAAAGTTGAGGTCTGATGCTGGATCGGCGTTCTACGTGGATCTCCCGAGGCATGCTTGTTAAGTGAACCTTTTAAAGAAAACCATGAACAGCAATGTAACAAAGTGAGTAAAGAAAATTCCTTTAAAAGTGCACCCTTTTAAGTTACTTTTGGAGAAAACCACTTGTAAAGATTTGCCATCACCAGTGTACGACTAACGTTAACTTGTTGTGGGCAGTGTGTGTCATCCTGTTGACAAGAGTGAAGAACGGTAATTGTGACGGTTAGGGAAATCACTGAATCCATGCTCATTTTCTGAGAGCATTAGTCCTTGGATCATCCATCCTATGAAGAGAAGAGAGACGAGTTGAACAATCGCTGTGATGATAGAGTGAGTTGCAGTGTCTGAAAGAGTGAAACAAACGCGTGTGAAGATTTACAAGAGTGATTTGTGCACAAGTGTGGTGAGATCAAACAACTGTGTTCTCTTTTAAGTCTCTGATGGATGCGATTGACTCATAACTTTGAAGATTCTTTCAAACTGATCTGTCCTCCCGCCTGTGCTGAAGTATATCAGAGCTGCTGAACTGAGTATTTCCTCCTGCAGTTATCCAGTCCCGTGAGTACAAAATACAGAGTGAACATTGACCTCTTCATCGGTCCCCTCAGCTGTGTGCAGGTTTCTGAGATTGTGTGCACGGTGCGGAGGAGAAAAGCTCAACGCACCTTTATTGCCACCGTCCACGAGCATAGTCTCCCACACCAAAGAAAGTCCAGTCTCACTATTTCTCCCAACGACGCCGTTCTATTACACGCAGAACGAGAGCAAAGGCTGGTAAAGTACCCCGTTTCTATTTCCCTTACTACAGACCGTCTCACCGTCAAATTGTCTGTTCCTTGCAGGACGAAGAGAAGTCACTGCCTTTCCCACGAGCTTATGCAACGAGATGAAGAAAAGTCACTGTCTGTCCCACGAGCCAATTCAACGAGTCTGATGACGAAGGGAAGTCACTGCCTGTCTCACGAGCTTATGCGACGAGTCTGTTGACGAGAAAAGTCCCGGCCTGCCCCACGAGTCCACCCAGACAGGGATATACTTACCTGAAGACCGGAAAGATACCCACCAGTATTTCCCTCTCTTTATCTCGCCAGAGCCACGAATGTCCCTGCCCCTGTTCTTATCCCTTTTAAACTTAATAAAAATGTACCTTTTAATTCCACTTCTGTTGTGTACCTCTTGGTGTCTTCTCCTCCGGAGTGTGCTAGACAAATCCTTGGCCTTAACCTTGGTGACATTTATCATTTGATTAGGCGTTCCAACTGGCATTGATTTGAAACATGACACGTTATGGAGGTTAGCGGGACGAATTTTCTAGTTGCCAGATCAACACTATAGAATATAGTCTATATATATCTTAATGAACTTTTAACCATAGCAAAAGTAAGTTTCTTGTGTTAATTTTAGACAAGTCTGATATTATATCTGTTAATTAACAGTTGAGAGTTCTTAAATGCTGGTCTGAAAGCAGACGACAGACTAGCCGGGTTTAAATCCAATATTTAAGAGAACTTTGTCCCAGTTGTGCAGACGGGGCATGTATCACACTGTGTTGCAATGAGCAAATGATTAGAATTATTGCTTTTCTACTCTACACTTGTTAGGCATACTTTGCTATTCTATAAATTAATATAGGCCTAATAAGTGATTATATAATATGCTATAATATATGAATTCCAGGGGTCATTACCCCCCATACTTTTAAGAAAAATAAACAAATACCTAAAATTTAGTAAAAATAAACTTTATAGACCGTGGAGTCATATGCACTAAGGATTAAAACATCCAGATGTTCAGTTGGGCTTCACTCTTCACTCAGCCTACAGAACATTTTGTTTTTGTAAATCTAAAAAATATTAATACAAAGTTGGATCAGATGGACAAAGTAATGATATTTGAAATACTGTAGAATTAATTGTTTTTAAATTGACCATAGGTATTGACCATATTTAGCCCTTTAGACATACAGTGAGTACTGTGTAATCAAATGGATCCTTAATGAAATATCTGCTTTACTATCCACAATTGGTTATCATACAGCCACAGAACAGTCCTACATAACATTTAATGAGAACAAACACAATTTAACCCTTTTCTAAAATTCCAAGGGCCATTTAAAAGAAAGAGACAATATTTTTTGTTCAAAAAAAGGTTATTTATTTACACCATGTATAGGATGACTCCTGTAGTTGACTCTCCTATGGCTTGCCACTCTTCTTAAGTTGTTTTTTTTTTATCCTCATGTCAAAGTGCTCCCGTTCACTGATTTAAAATAAATGAAGAAGCTAAAGTTGAATAGTGGTAGAAACAATGGTTATAAAATAATGGCAAGATGTCATGGTTGAACATTTTTGGGGATTCAAATGATGGGTGTTAATAAAAGTTTAGAGATAGAGATTTTACTTTTCTTAAGTAGCTAAAGCAAACACACACCTTAAAGGTATAGTTCACTTTGAAAATAATTTTTGATATGTTTTAGCTTACCTCAAGGACATCCAAGATGTTGGTGTCTTTTTTTTTTCCACAGTATTTTCAATTTTGATATTTTTAGGTCAAACCGTTCTTGTCTGTCAGTCATATAATGGAGGTCTATGGGGTCCACCTCAAAGAGCATGCACAGAGAAGTGCAAATTAAACATGATTCAATGACTCGTAAATGTAAGTACACATTGATGGCCTAAGACACAAAACGAGCGGTTATCAATGTGTATTAATGCAACGAGCACAGACAGAAGCGCCCTCAGAGTACTTGGACGTGACTGTGATTGCAAGAGGTAAAAACGATATAAATACTGTTCGTTTTCTCACACAAACCGCACGTTTCGTGTCTTAGGCCATCAATGTGTACTTACATTTGCGAGTCATTGATGATGATGATGATGATGATGATATACTTTATTGTCCCCGAAGGGAAATTTGTTGTGGACACTGTCCCTTCCATAGCTTTACAAGACAGCAAAAAAAGACAATTCACAGCAAAAAGAAAACACAAACAGATATTGCACACTCTCTGTATGGCCCTACATATTACATACTCCATAGAACACATAAAAATTACAGTTAACATATTGCACTCTCCCTTAGGCTCATTTACAATAAATACATAGTTGGCATACTACGCACCCTAGTACTGTATTGCACAATCCATCTGGCCTACAGAATATACAATTAACATATTGCACATATTGTAGAATACACAATTAATATATTGCACCTCCTCTATGGCCTACAAATCATCCAAATGACCTATAACACACAACTCAACAACCAACATATCGCACACACTTCCTCAAAACACTACATGTTCGAGTTAATAAATCATTAAATCATGTTTAATTTGGACTTCCCTGTGCATGCTCTTTGAGGTGGTGACCATAAACCTGCATTATATGACTGACAGACAAGAACGCTTTGGGCTAAAAATATCAAAATTGAAAATACTGCGGAAACAAAGAAACCTTTGAAACCTTCCGTGGGACGAGGCTTGTGATAATCTGTCACATTATGGTGGTTGATAACACACTGGTCTCCTCACTCCACACACTCCCAAAATATCAGATCATCATTGTGATTTTTGCAGAATGGATGTTGCCTGAAGTAGAAAAAAAAGTTTATATATATTTACATTTAATCAAATGTCAACGCATTTAATTTGACATAAAAAATGTAACATAGGCTACTATGGAAAAAACTAAAAGTTCATCACAAAATATCAACAACTGTAATATATCATATTGTGTGGACGGAAAAAGTCTGTGTACATGACATAAAGACACTCAAAGGGTTAATTCACCCAAAAATGAAAATCCTGTCATTAATTTCTCACCCTCATGTATTTCCAAAACCCAAAACACTTTTATTCATATTCAGAACACAAATGAAAATGTTTTTTATGAAATCTGAGAGGTTTCTGTCCCTCCATAGACAGCAATGCAAATTAAACTTTGCCGCTTCAAAAAGTTCATAAAGAGAAACTAATTCATATGAATTATGCAGTTTAGTCCAAATTTTCTGAAGAGACTTGATTGCTTTATATTATGAAGAGATTGAATTAGCCTTTTATTAACATACACACATTGACCATAGAACATAAACAGAAACTCAACCGAACCTGCTCGAATGAACCTCATTGGTTCTTGCGGAAGATCAAACTTGCTGCATAACACAAGAATGAACGTCATTGGTTCTGGCACGTCAAGCGAACATGCTTGAGCTTCCGTCGATGATGAATGTGATATGTGAGTAAAAGCCTTCATTTGTATTCTAAAGATTCATTTTCATGTATTCTGAATTACAGCAACACTAAAGAAGATTTTTTACCTTAAAATAATGTTTCCAAAATCATTTCAGCGGTTCATCGAGTCATGACAGGGGGAAAGGCATTCTGCCTCCGCTTTGCGGTCCTATATCTGCTATTTTCACATTATGTAAGTTTGCCATAACAGGTCGCGTTTCTGTAGTTCGAATGAGACATAAGAAAAC